GAGTATCTCCTTGTCCGAATCTCTGCACAAAAGTCAAACATCCAAGGCTTCATTCAGCATAAAACCACCTTTTGCTAGGATTGTAAGAAGGAAAAAATAATTTTAAAAGTTTCAATGTCATTGAAATATTTCTCTGGGACCTACAACTTGAAGTAGCTTGTTCGTTTTGTTTTTTTTAAAGAACCATAATGAACTTCATTGCCCCAAATCTATTTAAATGTAAATAGCACATCAAAAAGGGATCAAAACAAGCGTGAGAGGTCTAATTCACCTTAGGTAAAAATCTATCTCAGCTAACGGAGTTATACCAAAAATAATTTAAGTGATAATTGTTTATTAAAACCATGAAATACCCTCTCTTCTTCAAGGACTGCAAATACAATGAACATACATGTCTCTTCTTGAGAAACACACAGTGAAAGCCACCACACATTTTACTTGGCAAAGCATAATTCAGGCAGGCAGCAGGCAAAAATAACAATTTTTGTTAAAAAGCCAATACTCTCAAACAAACGTTAAGGATTCTTCTTTGAGAAGCATTCAGGTCTGCAGAGGCAGAAGCTAAGAGCACACTTTTTGAGGAATAAGTTTGCTCTTACCTGACCAAGCTCTTGAGTGAAAGGCTGTCTCCAGCTGATGTCCCTGTCTTCTGAAGATGACCTGCATCACCCACCCTCATATATAGGGCTTTACAGCTGGAAAGAGAAGTGATGACATCAAGGACATCCAGAATAATTGGGGAGCAAAACAAACAATGTATGGTTTCTGGTGACTTCCACCGCAAATATTTCCTTAGAGATGTTAGGAGTTAGGTAAATCATTGAGCAACCACCCGTCGGTGCAGAGGCAGACCCAGCCAGCTCTGGGTGCCAGTCCACACACCGCTGCCTGGTTTAGTGCATCATCCTTTTGGGCTTGTTCTCATGTCAAGATGTGGATATGGCTGAAAAGTCATGTCCTGATAGAATACTTCGGGGATTTTTTTCAAATGAAATTGAGGTTTTGACTGAAAAAAAAGTCTCAAAATATTGGCTACCCCTCACTGTTAAGTACTTCTACAATTCTCCTACTGCAGCCATACTGAGCACTTTGCCCTCGCAGAGGGCCCATGCAGTAAGGATGTGCCACACATTATGGGTGATAAATGAAGCACCAGGCAGCACCTTCCTCAATGCAAAGACAGATGGTGAAGACAGCAACAGAGCTGGGTACTCACCGTCCCAGCCAGCAGGACATGCCCAGCATTCCCATCCCAATGTGCATACAGACTGTGACCTTACCCAACAATTATCAAAGCCACCAGTACCTGTCCAGTGACCTAAATGGCTCATAATTCCTTTGATAACTGAGGAAAAAGAGGTATTGAATTAGGAAGGGATAGTGACACCATGATAAGCTGCATCAATCGAGTGTCGTGGTTTTAGAGATAACCTGAGCTGACAGACTCTTCAAAGAAACACCAACTGATTTGGAAATGTTGGTCTAACTGGCATGGCATTATATCTAGGTCCATCATCTCCACTTCAGAGCACTCCAGAAGCGCTGGGAGTGGGATGTGCTTTCATGGAGAGATACCATTGAGGGGGAGATGGCATTGACCACGAAGCCAGGCAGTTCCCAGGTGAGAGCTCGTTGGCTCTGGATCATTTTGAAGTCCCGGAG